CATTTGTCCAACGATCAATTGGAAACAACTATTAGCTAATCAATAAACATTTGATAGACAAAACAAGAACGAAAAGGGAGGAAAGTCAATATTGTTTTGTGACGACATCTTGAAATTTTCGACATATTATATGTTCGACATTTTTTTTTTCGGTCAAAATTGCTTCGATATTTTTTTCTCGACATTTATTTTTCGATATTTTTTTCATCGACAATTCTTTTTCGGCATTTTTCTTTCGACATTTTTTCCATCGGCATTTTTTTTTTCGATCAATTTCATGTAAACCGTTTAAGCTGAAAAGAATGTTTTTTTTTTATTGAGATGTTGAGTTTTCAAGTAAACTCAATTTTTGTATCAGATCTGTGGCAAACGACTATTTGAAAATCTCAACAAAAGAACATTCTTTTCGGCTGAAACTTTCAGAATATTCTACTAGTCATTCAACCAAATGCATGGGTAAACTATAATGTCGAACTTCTTCGAAGTTCTGATTTTTCGGTATGCACCAAAAACGCGATCAAAAATTCAATAAAATGATCATAATTTGCTCATGGAGACAAACTCTTTTCGGCTTCTACTAGTCTCACCAGCATGTTCATGTAGGCTGGGTCCCGACGGACGCTACTATAGATTCAATATAAGCTTAAACAGCGGTATCGATTTGAATGGTTCCGTCGTAAGTGTTTACCGAAGACATACATCAACAAGATATAACGGTACGTTGAGTTTTTTTTTCTGAGAGTAGCGAATAAATAGCTAAAACCTTGATCCTTTACTTGTTCATGTACACGAAAGGTGACATCGATCGATGGAAAAAACCTCAGATTTGGACTGACAGCTTCGTAGTAATGAGAATGGACTTGATGGAAAATAAAAAGTGTGTTTTTTCTTGAAAAACTAAGATCATGCATTCGTTTAGGTTGATACATGTTTAGGTGCTCAACAAATGGTTGACATATTAACAAATAAAAATCTTTCACGTGAAGATCAAGTACGAGAATTACAAGAAACTGTTGATAATCTTGGAAGTTTCTCTTATTTACTTTTTTTTGTTTTAAATAGAAAAATAAGGAATCACTTTGTGAAATGGATAAAGGTAAACAAAAACTTAACTTTTTCTTTTCATATCTTCTACTATTTACTTCATAACAAAATAGAAATGGAAGAAAATGCTAAAGAAGTCGAACATGATCTACGTGAAAATATCGATTTATTACACAATCAATAACGCGAGGTTTGTTAATTCTATTTTCTATTCATTCAAAATGTTTTCTTTTTCTTGTAGAAAGATCGATAAATTGAACAATTACAACATGTTATCAGTGATCATGAACGAACAATATTAAAATTTCGTGAAACAGTTAAAAATATGCAAGTATGTTCATTTTATTAAATAATAAATTTATTTAAAAACACAAAAAATTTTTCTTCAACTTTCAAAATGAACAATGTAAAACAAAACAAATTGAAAAATATGATGAACAATTAGAATTTGTTAGTTCAGTTCAATCAAGTGAATTTAAAGGTAAAATTGTTGAAACTAAAACATATGATGAAATAATTGAAAATGAATTAAAAAAACTTGATGTAGAGAATTTAACAAGACATGTTCATTTCTTAACATTATTTTTACCTGAACAATTTCTTAAACGTGGTGCTGATCAACGATTGTATACTGGTTCTTTTGCTTATACATCGTTTAATATCTAAATGTGATTTATTAATAAATGAAATACAAAACAAAATTTTCAAGAATTGATCAATTAAATTTTGATGATGTTGTTAAATCACATCGTGCAGAACAATGGAGTTTTTCATGTAAACTTTCACAATCATTATCAATTTTTCAAATGATTCTTCGAAAATTTGTCAAGTACGATTCTTTTTTTTGTCTTTAAGGAAACACTTCATGGCTCATCAAGGATTCCACTATTAATATGTTCAAATTTTCACTCAACTAAAACAGTTTTATTATCAAAGATTTCCAATTGAAATTCCATACTAAATAATATAACTAGAGACTTGTGTGACCAATTAGCAGCACCCTACTAGACCTGTCAACAGTAGAGCCAATCAGGTCCAAAAATTTCTAGATCCGGACCCGATGGGCTCTAATCAACAGGCCACTTTTTTTAATCAACGTATTCTTTTCATATCATCCTTTTAAGGTATCGGTTTTGTTGCCCACATACATGACAATACGCAAGCACCTCACATGGAAACAGCTGGGATTGAATTGATACCTGGTCGAAAATACAAATTAAGTTATAAGAAAAAGATGATGCTATTTTCGCCTTCACCGTATACCAAATGTACGGATAAAGTTTCTCTTGGAATGCGGGCCATACTTGACAACTATAAAGAAGCTCTCTATGGTTATTTCGAAATGATTTGTTATTAACTTTGTGGACAAGTGTATACGTAAGTATATTTCGAACGCATTGATCAACTTTTCTTCGAATAATTAATAGAATATATGGTATCACAGGTATGAAAAATCTGTTTGCGTTAATCCATTTGTATGGAATGTTCGTACGATAATTAGACCAGGTACGAGTAAAACTATTCAAGCACCCCTTTGCAATGCGGTGAATACTTGCTTTACAAAAACATTCGATATACTGTTCAATTCTTTGGCACTTATGAAAGAATACTGTTCAGATTGCTTTAAACAATGTTCCATAACTGATTTTATCGTTCAATTATCATCTTCAGTAGTACCTGTCGAATGGCAAATGAATGGAATAAAGGCATTTGTTGAAAATTCTTCAATTCCGTTACCTATAAATTGGTCGACTACATGGCCTGGATATATTCATGGAAATTATCTTGCTGTTGATGTTGTACGTGAAACAAATGTACTTGAAAAGAATACACAGTCGGCAACAATGAATTTGGTAGATGTTCTATCGAATATTGGGGGTCAGTTTGGTCTATGGATTGGTATTAGTTTTCTTTCCATAATGGAATTGATTGAAATGCTCTATTGATTACTTCGATATCAATACTATTCGATTTGTGGTAAAATGAAGACAGAACAAAAACGAATTAACAATGAATAGGAATCTTTTCTATGCCTCATGATGATTGAAAATAATAAAAGCAGACTTCATTTCATTTATTTATTTTTTTTTGAGCATAGATACCAGGTAAAGTCTCAAATAGCACTTATTCAAGCCACATAAATAAGTTTGCATTGATTATTTTTTAGATTGCAATTCGACTCTGTAACGGACAGAAAACGACCAGCTAGATAATTACGAATGATGTCCTTGATGCATATATCACTTCGATCGCTATCTAACGAAACTATAGAAAATTGTATTTAAACGATTATTCTTATGAAAACTAGAAGTATTTTCGAAGTTCATGAGTAAGGATGTGAGATTAGCTTTATTGTTAGGATAATATAATACTGTAAGCATTAATATTAAGGTCTGAGTCTTAAATTAGCATAATTTGTAATTCTAATACATATGTTACCTGCGACTATACCTCTGAGAATTCATGTTCTAAAGTTTTCGATAAAAAAGAGCTTTTATTAAGTAAAAACGCCTTTCCTAAAAACAGACCCAAATTCTTCGGTTTTGGAACCTTCTGAGCTCAAAGTATCCAAGATTTATTCTTTAATAGTCTATGTATTAGCATCAAAAATAATGTTAATTTAATGCTAACGTCGTATTATTCAGTTGTTCTAATGCAGATAATACTAAAGTGTTAATGTTAATTTTTCTCTACTAATGCAAAAAGCATTGGCATCAGTATTAATTCAGTGCTCATGCTAATATCGATATGACACCCATATTCGTCCATCTTCAAAGTTGCAAAGAAACAAAAGAATTTTTTCATTTCTGATCAATTTATCTCAACTGTAGTATACGGTTAACGGGTTCAATAACCTTTTCTAGTGAAAGCCTGAATCCTGATCATCAATACATCCATTTTTAACAGCCAATATGTGCAAGCCACAACCAATTGGTAATATTGTTTGAAAAATAAATACAATTGATAATGAAACACTCTCAGAATGTAAAGACCTAAGGATTCATTATTTATTGATTAGCAAAACTGTCCACAAAGAAAGAACAACAGTAAAAATTACTACCTACTCGTATGTTCATACGAGTGTGGGTATAGATGTACATGCTCTCTTCCTTTTTGCTGTCTTCTAAATGCTTACCTTTACGCGCATGTCCCTCCCTGTAGCTTCAGTAACTCTCATGTTGTTGTCACCACGAGTGGACTAATAGAATCGATTTCCTTTGGAGTAGGATAGTCATTGATTGAGCATAAGAATAAAGAGGTGATTTACATAAACATCCGATTCTTGCCTACACCCAAAACCAAACGATGTTATTATGACTTGGATTGTCAACATTGATATAAATTTTAAGCATCGAAACACTACTCGAAAAGTGTTGTCCTTGATTGGTATATATGTTTTCTTTTCCATCATTTAACAACTCATAATGAATACTAAGCATTGTGTACGTCAAAGCAATTTGATAGAAGATTACTTCAGTATTAGCTGATTGCTCTAACATAATTCAAACTACACTTATGCAGAATATAAGAAAAAAAATCGAACGATTTTCTTATACGACTCTTTTTCATATCTATTCAGAGTTGCTTTAACTATTTATTTGGATAGTTTTTTCGCATGATTCTCTGTTTTGCTTTCCGTTGAAGTAGCAGTAGTCGACTTGCTCGCAGCGGTAGTCGGTAACTTTTTGGTAGATGCTGCTGTTGCTGCTCCTAGTAATGCCATGTTCCTCGCAGTGGTCAATGTTACCTTCTTTGATGACGTGTTTGTTCTCGTCATCCTACTGGTCGACTTCGAAGGTGACGAGGTCCTCTTCGTGGAGGCAGCAGTTCCTTTCGTTGGTGAGAAAATTGTCCTTGTAGTCCTACTGGTCGACTTCGAGAGCGAAGAAGTCTTCTTCGTCGAAGTGGCAGTTGCCTTTATCGGTGTGGTCTTTGTCCTCGTAATCCTATTGACCGGCTTTGAAGGTGAAGAAGTCCTCTTTGTGGAAGTAGCAGTTGCCTTCGTGGGTGAGGTGTTTGCTGTCGTAATCTTGTTAGCCGGTTTCGAAGGTGAAGACGTCATCGCCATATAATCAGCAGCTGCCTTTCGAGCAGATGAGCTACTTTTTGGATCACCAATAGTCTTTTTCTCAGATGACATCGCATCTACTGAATTCAATCCTCTTTCTTTCTTCAGTAGTTTTTTGAAATCATGCTAGTAAATTGACGAAAGATAACCATAATACATAGTTGGTTGAAGTATCTTACTTCCCAACCAAGCAACTTCGCTAGTTCGATTACGCCGGCGTCACAACTACTTTTATGAAAAACATCGCGGCGATTTTTCGGCGAATCAAATATCAATGCGTGAGCAAACTAAATCAGCAAATGGGAAGAATTAGATTATTTTTACGTCTACCGTTCATTAGTTTCATCAAGTCATCACTGACAGGATCCCAAAATAAGACTGTTTTGCCGACCGGTTCCATATTAATCAATAGCCGAGGACAATTTTTGTCAACACTAGAATTGAACATTCTACAAAAGCAAGAATTTTGTTTATCATACCGAGAAATTAAACTATTAAATGGTGCCACTTCGAGTGAAGTACCGATGATAATCAGAAAATCGGCTTTGGGAAAGTCCTATATATCAAACAGATAAGTAAAATCAATAAGGACGATTTTAATTGTTTAGTTACACTTTCAGCACATTCTGAAAATTGTGGCGGTAGATTTTCGCCAAAGAAGATAATGTCTAAACTCAAACAATTATTGATGAGAATAACAATGTTCGAGAGGGAAATCTACCTGGTTTAATAATGCCCTTGCATGCATCACAATAAGGAATTTCATCCTTGAAAATAATTTCTAAATAATATAACAACAAGAGTTCATTGCAACACATGATAATGACTAAAAGTAGAACCCTCCTTCGATAACATATTTGGAGGCAGACGATTTTTTTCAACTGGACCGAACTGGTTGGTTGAAACTCTTGGCTTCGTTGATAGACAATTGGCGACAAACCAATTCGATTAAATATATGAATTACCCTACTGGTTCTTCTGAGAAACAATGTTTATTAATATAGCTTCACGAAGACATGCAATGTAAAGCTCATCTAACTGTTGAAATTTCTAACAGTAACAGCCTCCATGTTATTCTGCTGCATTCTATATATGCTAAAACTAAGAATGAAGGAAGAATTCTTTCACAACTTTTCATCTAGTATTTCACCAAGGCTGATATTGAATCACATCTATGCTTTTTGTTTCCCTGGTTTTCTACAGTAACGATATAATGTCTTTACAAGAATTGATAAAATACGAAGATTTGGTAAGCGACAAAGTTCGAAATTTAATACCAGTTCTCATATTTTCAAATTTCTGAACCAGTTGATATTCTTATAGTTGCATCAGGTAGCAGTTTACAAAATTTCCATAATAAAACGAAATAACGGGTGCGACAGAATAAATTGCCGCCTTTTGTATTTTATTTTTTCATCATATAGGGCGTTTTATTAAAAAGCAAAACATACCACAAGATGCAGCGTGAAAAGCTCTATAATTTACACAAGATCACTTATTTTATAGTTGCAATTTTTGTTTTTAAAATGAATAAAGTTTTGAGTGATCAAATATCAACACTGCTCAAAGATCACTTTTTCCATGGGAGCAAGACAAAATTTTTTTCTTATTTCGTCTCTTTATCAACTTATTACGTTTTCGAAAAAAAAAAATGTACCACAAGATGCAGCGTTAAAAACTCTGCAATCTACAAAGTAAAAATTAGTTTAATTGTGTTCTTTTCGTTTAAAAAAAAAGCAAAACTCTGTGCGACCAATATTTGACACTGCGAAAAAATCATCCTTTCGACACGAATGAGACATTCCTTTTTTTTTTTTTATTTAAAGAAATTCTTCTTTGTAAATTGTAAAGCTTTTCATGCTGCATCTTGTGATATATTTTGTTTTTTTTTTTATTGAAAACATTAGGTGATAAAAAGATGAGATAACATGAGATAAGAAAAAATGATTTTTGAGCAGTGTCGATATTTGATCACTCAAAACTTTATTCATTTTAAAAACAAAAATTGCAACTATAAAATAAGTGATCTTGTGTAAATTGTAGAGCTTTTCACGCTGCATCCTGTGGTATATTTTGCTTTTTAATAAAACACCCTATATGATGAAAAAATAAAATACAAAAGGCGGCAATTTATTCTGTCGCACCCGTTATTTTTTGATATTTATATAATGAAAGCTAGAACAAAAACTGCTACCCATTGAGAGTTTTTGACAGTTGGTTAAAAGCAGCCTACCTAAAATGATCTTGATATTTCAAGGTTGAAACTGTTTAGTTTATACTCAACTTAACTTCTATTGATTGGCTAACTTTTTCTAATCATATTAAATACATTCAGCATGATCTAAGGCCCTTATTGTACTTTGACAAAGTGCGAATTCAAAACTTCGAGTTGCAATATTGATGATGTCTAGAAATTTGTCTCTTGGAAACTTTCACGCTCATATTTCTGGACGGTTAGCATCGTGAAAAATCGATAAATATATCAAAAATGACTACCTTCAGTGGCCTAAAAAGTTGCGAAAAAAACGGTGAAAATCGGACAGTCAGTAACCGACTAATTGCTCGGTCTAGTACACGTTTGTCAATTGGATATCAAGTCTGTTCGAAGTACATCATGATTTCGATTAATAGATATTTCGAGAAAATTCATGAAAATTTTCTTTTATTAAAGACTGAAAAATATTCTAAAATGCCTTTCTGTGAATCGTCGCCGAAACTCATAGACAAACCTTTAACCTGTTCCAATGAGTATTCCTTGCGGCAATTCAAACAGTGCGCAGTGAAAAATGTTCCATGAGCTTCGACAATTTTGTCTGGTGGTATACCAGCAATTCGTTCCAAAGAATCGATATTCTAAAACCAAAGAGAACCAATTTTCAAGACGACAGTAGTAGAAATTCGTGTCACAATTTCACGCAGCGGTATGAACCACGTTTCTGCTTAGGAAAATACCTTTGTCAAGTGCACGAATAAGACAAGTGTTCACGTTTTCTGAAGCATGATAAAAATAAGCGTTGAAGTAATATAGTGAGAAAAGAAAAGCTACTGTTTAGATTCGTCTCATAGGTTTTGACAGATATTTTTGCATACTGACCAATAGAATCAGGCACAAATCGTGACAAAAAGAATAGAATCGACAAAGTACTCTATAATGTCATCGACAATGCAAGTTAGGTAGAGTAGAAAAAAACTTTCACGCATCAAAGAACATGACTAAAATATTTACATGTTAGTTTATGTCGTCCAGAAGAACAATAAGATGGATGTTACCAGGATGCTCCTTAACGAGTGGAACAGATCGATCATGTTTGACATTTACTTCCGTAGGGTTCATGCTGTGAGTATTTTTTTCAATTTATCGAATCACCGTACTCGATTGGTATTGTCAAAAAGCAAAGAATGATTTTAAACAAACCTGTGTAAATGTGCGCAATAATTTGCCTTTTTCGTTCAACAATCTAATAAAATAATGCGCTGGCGTTGGCTAAATTATAAGATTTGATAATGAAACAGACAAATTTGGCAGCAATATTTGTTTCCTTTTCGACTTACTGTAAACTTTTGCGGATAGAGCTCTTTGGCCAACAGGAAAAATGGTTTAGGATTTTGCTTCGATAATAAAAGAAAAAAAACCAAAAGAGTTTAATAAAGAAAAACAAAAAGTTCAATGTCAATGTACATACACAAAAATAATCCATTTGAAAGATTGCTTCGGGAAATGGCAAATCGTATTTCGCTAATTGGGAATACAGTCCAGTTCCGGGTGAACGAAAGTCAGGTATGCCAGCACTAGTCGATATTCCGGCACCACACATGACGATAACATTCGAACAATGGGCCATATACTCGGCAGCGCCAGCCAAATCAAATGATTTCAGTACAGGTGACTCGTCTGATTGCTCACTTGGCAGTATATCTCCGAGTAAACCTGGCAATCGTTCCATCACTAATAAAACACAACAACAAACCATGTGTCATTAGTGGATTTAATTCGACAAACTTTGCTGAATAATTGATAGTGAATCAGTCTCGTCATTGTTGTCTTCTGTCGTTGTAGCCGATGGTTGGTCTACATCAGCCTTTGATCCTGCATGATGATAGCGATGTGGATTATGAATATCTTTTAAATCAATGTAAATTATCCATTAATGACTCACCGGTAGCCATTGAATCCTTATTCGCAAAGAATACTTATCTACAAATGAATTTAGGTTATTCTTTTCTTCAATAATACAAAGTGGAATGATAAATTGCAAGCCTAAAGACTATATGTGAAACCATCAATTGATGATATATGAAAGTCTGTAGCCTCCGTAAATGACGTGGATTCAATAACAAATAAACTATGGAGTTTTGTATATTCAAAAATGAGAGAGTACACATAAAAATAACTACTGTGTCTTGTTTCCATGATATATGAATATAGTTTATTAATAAAGTTATTAATTTTTTAGTTTTTTGAATAAATAAAACACATAATCAATAGCCGACAAAAATATTATAATAATAGTTATGATTTTTAAGAAGAAGAAAATCAACAAGAATAGGACAAACAACATTACTAAAACCTACAGGAGATGATCTGACGAGAATAAGAAAAATCAATCATCAAAAAAGCAAAAGAATGAGTTTTATAGAATAACATTTGTTGATGCTAACACTATGTTCTAGTACTAGAAGTTTTCAATCAATAAGAATTTTGACTGTCAAATGAGCTTGTGAACAACGACCTTAAGGTGTCAAGCTTCAAAACGTGTTTTTAGTGATATTCTATATTGATATGCGTAGAGCAAACGATGAACTTTAAGATTGTTGCTTTAAGTCAAAAATAAATCAGTAAATATGTAGTTTTAATCTTTCCATGCGCATACATATATGAAATACTGAGAAAAATATTCACCATATAACAGAGCAAAACATTTCAATATTCAAGTTTACTTTCCTCTAGCTATAATTTTTAAATAATGGAAATTTATTTTTTGAAAAACACTTGTTTACCGTTGTACGCTGAGAAGGTAACTAATCTCACTAACGAACGTTGTTCGCGTCACTACCTTAAAGTTACAGTAGAAAATACGGTAGGTTCCCTGTAATCATACATGAATACTGTCTGGATACGTCAATACTGATTAAAATTCATGTTCTACCAGTAACTAACACGATAATTTGGATCATGTGCCTCGTTCATTATCCAAATTTATTCATGCAAACAATGTAACATGACCATTGCTATTAATTGAAACAGATGAAGTATATTTGCTTTCATCATTCATAAATTGCTTAATAATATTAAGACACAGGCTAAGCATTATTTCAACAATTCTTCAAACAATCACTCCGGGAGTTTTCAATGTATGATTCTACGTTTTGTTTTTTTAAGAAAAACTTCCAAGTCATAAATAAAAAACACTATGTTATCGCTCAAGACTCGTTCAAATATGTCATTCAAACCCCAAAATTATCAGTGATGCCTTGAGAAAAAATAATACCTATTAAGATGGGTTTGAAATTGATATCGAAAATTTTTTCAATAGAAAATAGCATTACATTTTTTTCAGTCGCACGATTTCCGATCGTACTAGAATCTGTGCATCGTTTTATGCGTAGAAAGAAAAATTCATGAATTTTCGACAGAGTAAAATATTCATTCGAGCCATCAATTCTGATACTTACAATCATTCGAATACTTCCTTATCTGACCAATCGTCGATGATGATTCGTCTTCCTCACTTCTATTATTGATGCATTGCTCTGATACGACTATTACCCACTAAAAAATTTCTTTATGTGAAAAATGCGTATCTTTCTTATCTTTCATTGCCTTTATCTTAAGAGATTTTTCTTCTTTATATCATCTAAAGTCAAGAACAAGTAAAATCAGACGATATATACAACACATTTATTACGAATACTCAACGATTTTCTTTCTTTGTCAACTATAATTCATATCTCTTCGTCACATATATTTTGAAACACTTGTCTTTTATGTTAAGATAAAACAATACTTTTCTCACGTGTGTTGTTATGCGAAGTGTTTCTCTTGGTCAATATTGTCTCAAGATGAAACAATCAAGATTCTTTTGTGCAAATAGAATGAAAATTTGGTTGCATGATCGCCAAAGATTTGACGTTCATCGTCTGCTATCATAAAAAAGTAAGGATATGGATGTCATCGTGAGAGTTGGATATGAGTGTAAGTCAGGATGTTCTATTCATCTACACTCAGATTCTCTAAAACAAAGTCTAATATTGATTTATTATTAGCAACGGTATCCAAACTAACCCCATACGGTGTAATGGTTCATTTAAAGAACACTATTGCAGCTGCCTTAAGAAAAATAACAAAACTGTAAATACAAAAAATGAATAATTAACAAGGCTAAAGTCTCTTGGTCGTGAAGTTTGGTTGTCTTGATGAACATTTTATCGTAACATTCATGACGAATAGTTGATGGCTACTCAGAAAGGTTCGTTTCAAAGAAGAAAAATATTTTCCTTTTGAGGATCTCGTGTGATTATGTCGAATGGTTTGAACGATCGATCAACTTCAAGTTCAGTTGGAAACAAATACTTTCAAAAATGACATTCAATGAGAAATGTCATAAAAAGAGATGCGTCAATTATTTGATCAACAAGATAATCGATTGGTCATGATTTTTCAGAACCATACTCAACTATTCGACTTTTGACAGAGAAAAAATGTAGCAACTGATCCAAATCAGAAAACAATCTCCGTGACTAGACAAAGCAAGAATATCTATCATATAATCGATAGCTACATCTTTTGATTAATCAAAACTCGATACATTGACGTTTGCTTCCTCGATGATCCTTACATCAAGTCAAGTAATGACAAGCTTTTCTTTCCAACTTGATGCTTGCATTTGAAAGAAAAATCATTCTAATCAATTATCACGTGTCTTTTTCGAGCTAAATCTTTTCTGCAAAGACCTATTGAATAACGATGAATTTTTCAACGAACATTTTCTTGATGTCTAGTTTCAAATGGATATTGTTCGAGAAGAATTTTGTGTTGAAAAATTTTGCAATGGTAAATCTATTCATATAATTAGTCAGAAGGTTCGCTGTGAATCGATTTCATTTGTCATCAATGCCGTTCGGAATGGTGAAGTAAATTTCAATCAACTTTCAATTCTACCATAATGGATGTAGATGTGGTTCATTTCGTTACTCATATTCACACGTTAGTTAGAAATTATGATAAGACAGTTCTTACCATTAGATTTTATTTGTTGCAAAGAAAAGGGTGAGAAACGATAGGTTGAAAAAAAGGATAAAATTGAAATCGAAAAGTATTTCGGTATAGCAGTTTCAGTTTAGAACTACGAATATTTCATATTTCTTAGTTATCATGACGATTATTGTTGTCATATAAAACTTGATCAAGAACAATAACAAGTGCTAAAATGAATGCTTGATCTTTTTCACCAGTGATTTCAACGCCATAAGTATCAGATAATGAAAAAAATGTTTTTATCACGACTGCCACTGTTCTTCCATCTTTTGTCAATGTAAATAAATGAGCAAAAATATCAAGACGTTCTAAAGAATATTGACCATAAACAGAATCAATGTTAAATCTTTGATGAAAGAAAGCGAATTTCTTTTTCAGGACTACTAATTCTCGATCTGAATCTTCATAAAGGACGGATAGTATATTGTAAGTTGAATGAAGATGAAGTAATTCTTGTTGAATTTTAATCACACCACTATTAATAGAAAATAAAACAACAGTAGAATTCTCTGTTTCTATCAAATAGCTTCTTAAACAGTTCATGAATCATTCCATGTGAGTCACGACCTAACCAAAGGAGAGGACTTCATTAAATAGTAGCGGATTTGCATAAGTTTTTCATATGCAACCAAAACAAATTTTTGATGAGTGTCTACATTAATCGGTAGGAAAAATAATGTTCTGTTGCAGAGATACTCAATTTTTTTCTCAGTACTCTATCAGTGAAATTGACACTCTTTTGTGCCACTCTTGCAAAACTCATATCTTAGCTTGAATGAAACTTGATGTAGGTGTGTGTAAAGAAAAGATCTATATTCTCACTCAACTGTCTTCAGTGGTTGATTCTTATCCGTTAATACTTTGTGAAATAACTTGATTATGTCATTTATCTGCAATAAAAGCTTTCAAATCAATCAATCTTACATACCATTTCCGAAGTATTGATATTGCAAAAAAAGATGCAAAAAACTTCAATTTCGCTTATACAGCTCGTGTTACAACATATAGGAAAACGATACGAAAGCGTGAACATAGATTAAATACTTCACTTTTGGTTAGGTCGTGGACTAAGTTGAATCACTGTTATTTATAGGCTACATTGCTAGATAAGATATGTGTGTATCATCCTAAATGAGTATTTCACAAAACTAAGTACAATTATTTCTAGCGTACATCAATTGAATGGATGTGAGAAGAACCGATAGAAAACACGTTTTCTTCGTCTTATTCAGGCACTTAAAGCTTGCCATATACCGGATTGATACACTCTGTGAAAACCGTAAGTTTTGGAAACCGAGTAATTTGAATAATTTTCTCAAGTTAATTTACTTTCCAGCCATATATTCAAAAACGAGTTTATCACCCACTCAAAAGAGTTTCGATCGAACTATATAAACGTCTTGACCCATTTCATTTTTAATTTTGAAACTATCACCAAGTGAAAATATTTTTTCTCAAACTTGATATAGACAAGCAGGCCACGCTTGTTTATCTGGGTTTGCCGATAGATACATAGAATAAATCATGACAAAATGTATTGTATACTACCAGAGCAGCTACACACAAGAGAACTATAGCAGTAGCTGATGTTAATTCACGTCTTTATACGTCTCAAGAATCGGTAAACATATGAATAAAATCAATACGAATGTTACTTTTTGGCATAAACAGTTGAATATGCGCTTAAAATACTTGTTATTTTTCTTATTCAGAAGATGAATAAAACGTATCGACCCATAGGCTTGATTTATAGAACGGAAAGAAAATTGTAACTATGAAGCACATAAGGTATATGCTGCATACTATACTACTCACCAAGAGCTCACGTTTTGGATGTGAATGCGGGAATGGGTGTATGAAGAAGAATAAAAGATTCCAACTGACAGTCAGATCTACACTGACATACACATCCCAATCGGACTGGTGCACGTTCAGACACGTTCAGTTTGAAACTCTTCTTCTTAGCACAAGGGGAATATTTTCTTCTACATCGATGATGAGTTTCTCGTGCAGGTCTTATCCTGATTCGAGAATCATATGCATGCTGACATCGTGGGACATCTTTGTCCTATATTTTCCGTCAAATGTCGATAGGTAGAACAGAAGAGCAAATCTTCTTCTTTTTTTATGCTGACAGATTGAGTAACTAATCATCTGAAGAGAATAATCTAACAGTGAGTAGCTGATGATCATTGTGACATCAACCATTTTGTTTCCGATCATGATCTTACTGAGATAACGCATTTAATAAATATAGTGATTGTCAAACGAATCACCAGCCAAAGTCCTCAAGTATGATAAGTGGCTAAGTGACAATATTCAAGTATAGAAAACATCCGGGTCATCTTTTATATCATTGATAGAATCCATTTTTTTCGAGATTCCACGTGTCATTCTATGATATAGATGAGCAACGACTTCGTCTCCAAATATCGTGTTATCAATTTATTTTAATGCTTAAATTCACTTTCGTTACCATCAAGCTGTAATTGTATAGATTATTAGTGAAATAAAATAATCTGAATAGATTGAAAAGAGCATTTTGATTATTCTGACTGTCTCAGTCTTCATTTTCCTATTTCATTGCCGTTTTATTTTTCTTTCTTGCTACCAGGAAAACCTAGCAAAAATTTGCCTCCCAGATTTCGTGTCGATTTGTTGAATTTCTTAAAGTTAAAATAGTTTCGTCTTTTTATATCATACATCTTTTAGATATGGATTTTAAAGGAATGCTTCAATTTTTTGTTCTCAGTTCTACTGTCTCGTTTTGTGCTTTTTCACCGATCATTGTACCATTAGTTGTCGTTATTTTATCATGGTTTTGGTCTGCAACAACTATCATCTCACTTTGGCTTGTCTATTGTTGTTGGTTGTACATCGATCGTCACACTAATTCACATGGTGGTCGATGGTGTAATTGGCTTCGTCAATGTTCAATTTGGACACATTGGGTACAATATTTTCCTCTTACATTGATTAAAAGTACTGATCTCGATCCAAATCGAAACTATATATTCGGTTATCATCCACATGGAGTAGCGGCTGTTGGAGCACTGGGCAATTTCGGCACAGAAGCAACAAATTTCTCTAGTTTATTTCCAGGTATTCGTCCACATTTGATGCTTCTTCCAATACAGTTTTTTAATCCATTCACACGCGATCTTTTACTTGGATTGGGTAAAATTTGTACTCTTTCTAAATATATAATCACAGACAATAATGTTTTCACTACATTTTGAGGTGCATGTTGTGTATCACGCAATAGTTGTGAGTATCTATTGAGTGGCAAGTGTAGTCAAGGAAATGCATTGGTCATTATTATTGGCGGTCGACGTGAAGTAAAAGTGACGCAGAAGGATACGATGATACTTTATTTGAAGTCCAGAAAAGGGTTCATTCAGTTGGCATTAAAATATGGGTACATCTATTGTTTCTTGGATATTGATTAAGTTGTACAAAATTTTCCATGTTTTGACATATTTTTAGGGCTTCCATTGTACCTGTTATATCGTTTGGAGAAAATGAATTATATGAACGACGTACTTTTTTTCGATTGATACCCAACGGTATTCCTTGGGGTCAACTATTGATGGGACATATACCACTTCGGCGTCGAGTCATCACTGTCGGTAAGAATATGAACTATTATTAGTTTTTGATAAATTTATAAAATGAAGAAAAATGTTTAGTTGGTAAGCCAATTCATGTCGTTCAAATTGACTATCCGACTTCCACTGATATTGATCAACTTCATAATGATTATATTCAAGCAGTCGAGCAATTATTTATCGATAACAAGAATAAATACGGCTTCGAACATGTACAACTCGAAATTATTTGAAATGAATAAAGTGTTATATTTGATGTAAAACTTCATGCAAATGACCCTCAATCTACATTGTAATTCTTTTTACCCAAAAAATAACATAACACAATATAAATCTTCAGAAACACGGATGTAAGCTAGTAACTCTGTATACTAAAATGACAAAACTTTGATAGAAAGAAATATGATTGTACTTTTTGAGAATATCTGTCGATAATCATAAAGTATTTGTTTTATTTCGAAAATTAGAGATTCTCCAAAAACCAATCCATGCCTTTAAAAATACGTCAGATATAGAACTTCGAAAATAATTTTGCAACAATTATGATGAAATCATTAAAAATAGATGATCTAATTCGCTTCCAAAATAGTTCGATTATCCAAATACATTTGTATATAAAGAAAAAGTTAACGCATAGAAACCTATGATTGAGTTTCGAATTTATTGTTTCAATCATGTACAATTTCGTATTGTTGCGACCTCTGTCGTTTGCATAAGATTGCATCAATTTGACATGTTGAAATTACCAACGAATCGATATGTTATATGATAAGCTAAGTTAAGTTCTATTATTCAAGCTATATTTTACCGAAAACCTATGTCGACTAGAGGAAAAAAACAAAATACATAGAATTTCATTTGTTCATTGTTTTCGTTACTTGTAACGCTTTTTTGCTAACTTTAATCTATTTTAGAATGACTGATTTTGTTGAAGAACCATTTACGGTTATTTCACCACGTTATCAATATAAATTGTCTTGTATTTTTCATCGTAAACGTTGTCCCTATATTGATGATCAAAATAGAGAACATGTAGTTATTATATGTCATGGTTATATGGCTAATAAAAATACACTTTTTCTTCCGCAATTATCTCGTAATATATCAGACTCGGCTACAAATCAATTTCATTCAGTTCGCTTTGATTTTCATGGTTGTGGTGAATCAACTGGACGTGATGAATGGAACTATGGAGGATATGAAGATGAAGCTAAAGATGATCTAAGATGTGTTGTTGAATATTTACGTAATAGAAGTGAAAAATATTTTATTCGAGCTCTTATAGGACATTCACGAGCTGGAACAACGGTTTTACTTTATACACTATATTATGATGATATACCAATTGTTGTCAATATAGCAGGACGTTATCGACTTGAACGTGGTATAAATGAACGATTTTCTATAAAACAATTAGATGAACTTGAAAAAAATGGTTCATTTACAATATGTACCTATAATGATGGAAATTTTCGTATAACAAAAGAAGCTATAGAACGTCGAAAAAATCTTGATTTAAGTCAAATTGAAAATATTCATCATGCAAAAGTTTTGAATATTTGGGGTGATCAAGATAATGTTATTCCCGGTGATGATATATATTTATTTAATGAGCAATTAAAAAATACAAAAAAGACCGAAATGATCATTGTATCAGATGCTAATCATTGTTTTATAGGCAAAGAAAAAGAATTAATTAATATAATTCAACGATGGATTCAACAATCAATTGATTGATTTATATCTTATTTTCTTTATTTATTTTCAGATAATGATTTTATCAAAACAGTTTGACTCAAATGTTCATAATCAGATAATGGATACACAAAATATTGTTGGCAGTACAAGTGCTGCAAGTGGAGATAATAATAATAATAATTTTCCACAACAACACCAACGGTCAAATGGAAATACAATTACATCATCTTATGAAGGAAATTATCAAGTTGATATATCATCAACTAATTTTGAACTTGAAACAATAACATCATCATATACTGGTCTTATGCGTATTTATCGTTTATTATATGTAGCTGATCATTGTCCAATGTTACGTAATGATGCTCTTTTAACCAGTTTTAAATATATACAAGAAACACATTTTATTTCTCTTTATAAACAAGTAAAACAAGAAAATTTCGTTTGTTTTTTATTTTAATTAAAATATTTGCCTGTTTTTTTTTTGTTTTTAGATACTTGATGAAATTAAGAAACAAAATATACCATTACCAAATGATTTTGATGCAGCATGGTATGAACGAACACAACGTAATTATGTTCATAAACTTGAAAAACTTGATACTGATTTGAGAAATTTTCGTACAAATTCAATCAAAGATTCAATACGTCGTGGTCATGATGATCTTGGTGACCATTATTTAGATGCTGGAGATTTTTTTAATGCTGTTCGTTGTTATGTACGTTCACGAGACTATTGTGTTACACCAAGACATATGATAACAATGTGTATGAATGTTATAAAAGCATCATTTTATATGCAAAATTGGTCGAATGTTTTATCGTATGTTAGTAAAGCTGAACAAGCTATTGAAAGTCTTGAATCTACTTCAAAATCAACAACAACACCATCGATTTTAACATCAATGGTTAATCCAATGGAAGTATCAAGTGTATCGACTACAAATGCAACAACTGCATCTGATGCAGTATTAATATCACGTTTAAAAGTTTATGCTGGTATTGCAGAATTAGCAACAAAACGATATAAATTA